TACACATTTACAGTAAGTGTAGATTTGGGGATAGAATTTAAAGCTCTCGTCCGTCAACAAATCATAATGGCTGAATGTGACACTTGCACAATAGCATTTGTTTGAGCATGTTTGGAAAGAGCAGGGAAGTCTTTGCAGTGCTAAGAAAATTTGTAAATCTTAGGATGTTTTCTTCTCAAAATGAGAAACAACACCTAATCAAAATAAGTTGGCAACTCCCTGTTCAAAATCGGTGTTGTTCCCGTAATGCACGGGAATGGTTAAGGAAGGAAAGGGAACCTCAAGGTCATTGGGAATCGTCTTTAGAGTGTTCTTACAGGGCTTATCTGTGCTCACATGCCTAATTTTTTTTTTTTTTACAAGTGTAAAGAATGGCCACTTGCTTGAGACAGGCCCAGTGCCATCCTTTATTCAACTTCCTTTATACTGCTTTTTTTAAAGAAGCTGTCAAGTTCTTTTTTTGCAGCTGACAGGAAAGGCCAAATCTGTGGTACAGGAAAGGAGGCACAAAAAGAAACTTTTTTGTGTTGATGTTTTACTAAGTGAGCTAAGGAGAATTTTAGAATCATGTAATTTACTCTGGAGGCATTTACTGTACATAGCTATAGTGATGGTAATTTCTTTCATTGTTGAAGTGAAAAGATAACCATCAATCAGTTGTCAATTGGTCAATTGCAGAAGTGATGAAAAGAAACTGGTAGGAACAATCACTTCTGGGGCTACCTAGACCATTTGGAGGCTTAAGAAAAGTATGGGAACTGGATTGCATTTTAAAAAGGGATTGGACCAGATTTTCAAAAAGGTTAATCGGCATAACTTCCTTGTAAAGAATGGCTTTGCAGTTATGAATAATCAGGAGATGCATTTTAAAAATGGAAAAAAAAAGACATAGGATTAAAAAGTGAAAATTGTTTTTTAAGCTAGATAACAGTTAAAGAAGCCCCCAAATTTGATATCATTGTATTCTTAATAGAATAAATGCAGCTTACTAATAATTCCACACATGCCTTTTAGAGTAAATTAATAAAAATTATTTTGCACTTGAGCCCTACTTCCAATTTTGGGCACTTTGAAATAGAAAACTTTCTAAATATTTATCACAAGGAACAGATAATGTGTGAATTTTGACCATTTTTTTCAGCAAATATCTACATATAATTTCATTTTTAAAGCCCATGAAAACTCACATAAAAATTAGGATGAGAATAAGTTTAAAAATCATTAACTTACATAAAAGGCAAATAGCTCTTTGGGATGTAATGCTGTAAGCAAGATTTCATTTTAATTTATCCTATTTTTCTAAGAATGCCAATGTTGTGGATTTATTCAGAGACAGTTCCCCCCACACACACACAGTTATTTTTTTTTTTTTACTGTGGTAGGTAATAAAAAGGATTATAGGCCCCCAGAAGGAAGAGATATCATCAGTTTGTAATCCAGCCCATGGTTTCCTAGATACCGTATTGTCTATTCTGTTCCGCTATGTGAAAAATGTTGAATATCAACAATGGGTTTCAGTGCTGTATTGTTGAGTTTTGTATGAACTAATCTAGCTTCTCTTTAAAAAAAAAAAAAAAGAAAAGAAAAAGAAAAAAAAGAGAGAGAGAAAAGAAAGAAGAGAAACAGAAAAGGAAAAAAAAAAAAGAACCACAGCTTTGGACAAAAGTCTACAGCCTGTGCATTTGAAACTCCCTCTGCACAAGGGCCAGTGTAGCTGGGGGAAGACATTTTACTCCTCTGCGCTCTCCCTTCCCACAGTCAGCTGGTCCCTCTTCTCAGGTGTAGATCCCCTATGAGGATTCCACCTCATTCTGATAGTTTGCTAAGGACAGCCCCCAGGACTTAGCAGCTGGGATAGGCCTCACTTAAAGGCAGCTCTGGCCAGTCTCGGAAGGTAAGTTATTTGCATAACTTCTCTGCTCTAGTGTGCTGGCCTAACTTGAAAACTTTGCAGCATATCACTTATTTTTAACTTTCTCTTCTCTCTCTCTCTCTCTCTCTCTCTCTCTCTCTCTCTCCCTCCCTCCTTCTCTATGGGGAAGAAAGCCTGACAGGTTTCTCCAGAAAAGTGGCCATCCATGGAATGAATGAAATGTTCTCTTTCTATTCCAGTAAGTAATTGATTTGTAACTAAAAATTGAACTGGCTGCTGGCACACAGGTGCCGCTTCCTCTTTAGCCTGGAAAGAAAAGGGGCTTAACCTGTGATTAAATTTCAAGTCAATTGACCTCAACATGATAGTACGTCATTTTCACTTGCCTTCCCAATGGCCTGAGGGTCTCAGTTTGACCCTGACTCTGGCACCTGCGTTTTTAATGTTTGGTGTTGGAAAAGCTAGGTTTGCTCTTTCGGTTTAGAAATAAAATGTATGGAGAACGGTTCAAAGTAAATAACAAATGGTGGTCAGCCAGCTCAGCTACGTCTTAGATACAGTGCTCGTTGTGTGCATGTGTGTGTGTGTGTGTGTGTGTGTGTGTGTGTGTGTGTTTTCATGCATTAACTCTGAGTTCACGTAAATTATTATTCATGTACATTTTTGAAAGTATGGATTTATGAGCAATAGTTTATTAACTAGCAGGGATACACAGTCTGAATCAGTGAGTTACCAACATTAAAGGTTATGAGCATTTTGATTTTAAGTGCTTGCAAATGTTTAACTTTGATCATGCAAATCTCATAGTTTAAGTACATATACCTTGCACTTTGGTGATTTTTGAGTTCTGGAATGAAATAGCAACTCCTAGTCACGCGAATACCACAAAAGTCTATTTAACTTTACCAAGATGCCCCTTTGGACTTTTGTAGACAATCCTCTATCTCCTTCCCGAAAGCAAAAGGAAAATCAGTGACATCTAAAATGACCATTTATACTTTGATGTTTTGCACTTATGTAAAATGATTTCAAGGTAAGAATCAGTGCTTTTTCTTCCCAACTTTTTTTTTTAACCTGGAATTTGAAGAACATGGTGATGAAGATGCTTGCTTAACCCTGCTCTTAGTGCCAGGCTGTAAGTAGCTCTCTGTGAAACCATCTCTGACCCTCTGCTTGCAGTGGTCAGCCTGAATTTTTCCCCTTCCATGCCCATCACTGTCAGTCAGTTATAGGATTGAACTGAACCAGAAAATCTGGTACAGTCTGGTAATTAGTACAAAGGGTTTCCAGTCTAGTGTAAAGACAGAGATGCAAGAGCCCCAGCAGTCACAGAAATCATTTTGATTGGCCACGGACACTGCCTTTTAGTGCTGCTTGGTGACTTCCTAAAGATATTGCCTCCTACCCTACAGGTCTTTGCCTTCAAGTACATTATGGGCCTTTTAAAAAAAAAAAAATCATTTGTGTGCGGGTATGTGCGTGTGTGCGTGTGTTTCTTTTTTTAGATCCAACTTCTTCCATTTTTAGTCTGTCATTTTTGCCTATCAAACAGACACATTTTGACTTGCCAAACAAAGAACCAAGTTATCAACACTCACAGAAACTGACATTTTTAATACAGGCTTCATTATGTCTTCGAATTATGACAGTGAAGTACAAAGACATTTTAAGGGTTTTTTCATTATTTTTTAATCCAGCATTGGGATGTTTATCTTTCTTTAGTATTCATATTTCCATTTCTACCTTTATTCTCAGTAATATATAATTAGCATTATCAAAACCATCAGCTATTATCCTTTCTGACTTTTGCCCCCTTTTTTTTAGTATGTCTTAAGCTAGCATTCCCTAAAATAAAGAAAAAAAATCTATAAGAAATTTTAATGAAATATTTTAGGGTTTTTAAAACAATGAAACTTTTTAAGGTGTGAATCCCTTTCAAATGTCAAGATGAATGGGTGAATAATAGGTCCTATAATGAAGCAAGAGCAACAAAATTAATTTCATGAAAAATTATTTTATAAATCAAACATATTTGCCCAAAGTGCAATTTTGCAATGTATATTTCATCATATGTTTTCAATTACTACTTTAGAATTGTGTGGCTTATTATCAGTGCTACTTTGGGATAAGATTTTTGTTTTTGCTTTTTGTGAAAACAAACATCCCCTTTTATTATAGATTACAATGACCCAGACAAATATCAGATAGAGTGAAAGGGCTTAGTAACTTATCAATGTTAACAAATGCCTACCTAAATGAGATCGATGTATATGTAAGGGCAAATTGAATTTCTTGCATTCTGTACAAAATTACAAAAGCAGCAATGTCCACACTAAGAGAAGCACCAGGTTCTTCATTTCCAAGAATTCTATCTTTAGAACAATCTGCAACCATATTTAGTTGGAATGCATGTGCTTTTGTGAATCTTCTAAAGGACCCACATCTTAACATAGCTTTAAATATCTGTTTTATTCTATGCATAATCTTAAGAAAATACTTATGCTACCATATCTGGTACTGATGTTTACATGTCTGACATTGCTATTAAATTCCAAGAAGGTTAATATTGCTTCTGTAACCCTGTCATGAGTAATACATTTTCCCAGTAAACATGTCATAATTTTAAAGGCTGTTCAAGAAGAAGTATTTCTGTTGAAATAGTTTTGTATTCATTTCTCTATTGTTTATTAACCATAACATAGTATAATGCTTTAAAAAGAATACACATATTTATGTAATTAACACTTTTTGTTTTTAGTAAAACCTTGCCCATTAAAAACTAAGAGGACCTTAGAAAACTATAAATAGACAACTTCTCAGGGATAATATTTGCATTCAGTTTTAACTTGTGTTGCAAGGTATCCATAACAGGACTGAGGGAAGAGTACATTCTGGTAGTATTTTCCTTATTTTATTTTTTTAACCTAAAATATATGTTGCCATTGAAAAGGTGTTTGCCACATGTAGCATGGCAATGTCCTGTACTCTGTAGTTGCTAAAGGGTTTGTGAGTCTGTATAAAATTATAAAAGTTCACAGCTTTAATATGGACATAAATATTCTTTACTATTTTGATCTTGTCCCTAGAAACAGGAGTAAAACTTAGCAAAAAAAACCCTAAAGATTACCCAGTCTCGTGGTTTTCAAACTCGGGTTCCTTGGGACACTGGGTGTCTTTCTGCCCTCTTGAGTCCACAGCACCTCTGCGTGATCTGCCGTGGGTACTGGTGTTCCATATAAGCTGTGCTTATAAGACCCCAGGCTGGAAGGAAAAACATGAAAAACTACTGACTGAACCCACCTTCTGGATGAGGAAAAGCGTTTACTAAAAAAGAGTTTACCAATAGTTGCACGCTGAGTCACATGGTGATGTTGATTTTGGTTCTGGCTCCAGGTTGGAGCCCTAAACTGCAGTTGAGCTTTCTCTGCATTACGGGTCACTGTGTGTGGTCACCCTCAACTCTAGTCCTGAAAGCCCATAGGAAATGATGTGTACTGTCCAGGTAGTAATGCAATTGAGTAACACTGCGTGTTACCCAGACACGTTATTTTGGCACTACCTCTGTTTCTGGGTTCGTTGTTGTGATCATTAAAATAGCGCAGATGCACCTTATTTCTTAATAAAGATATTCTGGAGTAATTTTAATTTTTTTAAATTGTCTTTCAAAAAGCCACCTTACATAAAATGTACCTGCTAACCCGTGTTTAAAGATACAGTTCGCTAGGTTTAATATGGGAGTACTTTTTTTTTCCACAATGGAAAATTTTAGTTGGGAACTAAATCCAAAAGTAAGAAAACTAAAAGAGATGAAGTTGAATTAAGAGGCTACCTTTCCCAAAATACATTTAATGGGATACTTTCCCCACAGGCTACATCAGGCAAAAGAGTAACATGGCCAAATAATTTTGGTAAATGTAACATGTTGTGTCTTTCTCTAGAAAATTCATATTAAAAATTTATTCTTGGGCCAGAGATTTAGCTCAGTAGTGCTGCTGCCTGCCTCGCAAACATAAGGACCAGAGTTCAATTCCCAGTACAAAAAAAAAATTTTTTTTAATGTATTCTGGAAAAACACTAGGAAATTGTAAAGATCTCTTTGAATATAAAGTATTTTCAAACTATTCTCCAAACTATTTCTCCATAGGTTCCCCGACATTTTTTGCAAAAAAGTTTTATTTCTCGGGACTAATAGTTTGTTGAATGTATTTTAAGAAATTCTCCTCATATTGAACTTTTAGAGAAGGAAGGAAGGAAAAAGGGAGGGAGAGAGAGGGAGAGGGAGAGAGAGAGACCTGTAATCTTTATATTGTTTATGTTAACTGGCTGTGTTTATCAATCCTTTATCTTCATCTTGTGGATAATAAAGCCCACTAATTAAATCACTCAACAAATATTTAGGCACAGCACTTAGTCCTAGGAATAGAGTAATGAGTAAGACAGTCAAAGCCCTGACCTTGAAGAGCCTACAGTCCTGAAAAGATACCACTGGAAACCCTGGGAGAGAGAGGGAGGAGGAGGGAGACAGAGACCGAAGGGGAGGAAGGAAGGAAGTCAGAGCACGAGCAACATTAACTCTTTCTGTCACTAAGAGCTTTGTCTGCCTGTGTTTATTTTGGGTTTTCCTAATGCTAAAATAATATAAATAGAAAGAGAGAGAGAGAGAGAGAGAAAGGTGATCACTAATCCAGAAGTTTATAATCTGGTCTTTAAATAGTAGACAGCCCACTTTTTCCCCTGAGATCTATTTCTGTACATAATTAGATCTTTGATAGCTCTCTGATAATACCAAGTTGGGCTTGTAGTGTTTATAAATGAGGGAGAGAGGAAAGAAAGAGGGAAAGGAGAAAAGAAAGAAGGAAAAGAGAAAATGATACACATTTCCTCATCTCACGCCTAAGCTCCAGTAAGATTCAAGAGTTGGCAGAAAACTTACTTGGTAAAAAAGCCTTCATCTCATCACTGTCTCTCTCACAACTCAAAGAATATCTCTCAGTCGGAGTCAGCTCTCCATGGTACCCTGAGCCCTGTCCTTGGCTGCAGAGTTCTCCGCTGAGTAGCTCAACAAGTTGAGTAGTTCTTCGCTCTTGGGTGGACCGAAGTGCTCACTTCCACATGCACTGCGCACCCAGAGATGTTGAAGGTAACTGGCCCTTGCTCAGAGATCTGAGAGGCAGAAAGAGTTGCAAATTAAAAGAGGTGGCAGAGGCTCATAACTGAGAAGGGGGGACCTTATGTCAGCTGCAGCTTCTCCGCCACATGTGCTGCCGTAGGTGGGGCTCAGGGGCAGTGCTGGATGTCTGTACCCACACCTCACACCTCGGGGACACTGCCACATGCTTTTGCTCTTTCACTCTCACCCTTCCCAGCGTTTCCTCTCACGGGAACAACATGAAGTAAAAGCTTGTCAGATATTATGAAGAGAGGATTTAGAGAAGAATTTGGGATTTTTTTTCAAGTTCAAATGAAGAGCAGTGTTACTCTCTTTCCTAGCTATTAGCTGGGGGTTCATTTTCTGATTCCTCTTCCTCTCTGTCATCTGCCTACTGATGTCTGCTAGGCCATGAGTACTTCTCTCTTTATTCCTTTTAATTAACTTTTAAAAATCAATTATGGTTACTTGTATGGATCGCTGTTCTCTTGGCTCATCAAATTTATTTGGCTTTTTTTTTTTTATTTACACACCACTACCAACTGCTGTGAATTAACAATAACAAAAAATCTGCACTCTCCCCTTCCACCTCTTGAACTGGAGAAACTATTAGCTAATAAGAGGCTAAATGAGCTTTAGAGTATAGGGAAGCTTGGATCCTTAAATTATTTAAATTGAAAAATGGCTGGTTTTACAATCAGAAAAACTCAAGTGGACCGTAAACCCCTGCTTGATTGTCCCCCTGTATCTGGATGATCTTGTAATGACAGCTGGAGTTATCTGCCATCGGCATCACTGTCCGCAAAGACAAAGCTTCTCCTCTCTGTGCTCAACCCTTCAGCAGCCCTGGGGAGCTAGAGCTGCTTCAGGAGACAGGGCCCGGGAGGACCAGAAACTTTATTAAAATGGAAAGCTGTCTCTGGTGCCATAAAAGCCCTGTGACGAGTAATGGATCTAAAAGCACAGCCAGAAATTATCTGCAGAATAAGAAAGTGAGATTTCATATACTGTAGGCTAAGGCCAATGTAAAAGAAAATGCAGTGTAAACTAAACAGCAGCATAAAATAAGGAGTAAGAGAAGGAGGGAAAAGAAAATGCTATTTTCAACACCAGTACTGCAGACCGTCCTTTGTAGAATTCTATCTCAGGAAGTGACCCAGTGGGGAATGTTATGGGAAGTCAGGATAGTTGTCTGCTTTGAAAATTCGGGAAGTATCCCCCAAACATGCCTGATTTTTTTTTTCAATGAGCAATTCATTCTTGGGCTATCACCTGTGAATTTCATGTAACTCATTGTTATTAATAGTTTTCATAGTGTTATTAATATTAACAGAGCAATAGGAAACCCTCACACTTTGACTTCAAGTCTGAATATGACCTTTCACTTCACTTGCCATACAACAATGAGGAAAATCATCGAAATACATATTTTTGGGGGTTCACCCAATTCAATCTATTTTACTATAAAATTAAAAAATAGGATCGAACCTCATTTCACTCAGAGGACTCCATGTAAGTTGAAATATTGGAATTAAAATTGAACCACTAAAGTATAGAATAATTAATCTGTTTTAAATAAGGATAATTGGTAGCAGAACTAAGAACAAGAGTCCAGGTGGTTTCAATTTGAATATACTAAGTTCTTCATAAAGCTCTCATCCTTCATTTTACATTCTAGTTTCTTTAGAGGAAAAAAAAAATGACTCTAAGAACAAACTGTCATGTTATATTCAAATAGTTCCGTGCTCTCAGAAAACAAAGCAGTACACTCCCCCCGTGCACAACCCTGCTTTGAAAACATTTCTCAGGGAAGTTTATCAACCTCATCATCATTACCATCACAACCACTACCTACCTACCAACCATTCTTCCTTCTCCAAGCTTCCATTTCAAGCCTCATTTTCCTCGTGATCAGTAACTTCTTTAAAAATTAGTGTTGGGCCGGACCACCTAAATAGTGGTTTCTCTCTTCATGCAACTAGTAAGTTCACTTAGCAAATGAACAAGCGAGGTGAGGTATTCATTCCTTCATCTTCTTTGGAAGAAGACATTACAACTACTGGTTAGATCACAACCACCCAAGTATTAGGAGAAACTCTACTATGTATCTATTATCTATCTATCATACGCCGGGCCTTATTTTTCTAAAATGTTTGTGTGCACACCTGAAATGTTGTGAAACGAACTTTAGTGATGAGAAAAGATTGATGGAATTATTTAAGACCCCCCCCCAACCCATTTTGAGTTCAGAGATAGCTTCAGGTATGACTTCGTAAACAAGCTTCTTTCTGCAGTGTAAGAAAACAAGGTCCTTTCTGTCCCCCCAAAAAGAGACTGAGTAGCAGAATACAGAGAGGCCCCTTTGTCAGGCTCGCCGCTCCACCCCCATTAGTATGCGCTGCTGCAAACTTGAAGCCCAGGAGGAATTTTTCTGACTTGGGAGTTTGGTTTTTGCAAAATTCCAAGCTTTCTTGCTCAGGGATATTCATGTCAAATGGCAGTCCCCTAGAATAATTATAATGCCACCATGTTGTCCCATTCAAAGCAGTGTATTGGGTGTTAGGACAAGCAATGCTATGAGAAGGGTAGCATTGAATTTACCAGAACTGATTCTTAAATATGTTTTCTGAATACCTGGGAAATTTTATTATTATTTCACATGCCTCACGGTAGAACTCAATCACTGCTGCTGGTGAAATCGTGGTAGAAATATATCTACATAATGAAATTTGCAACCAAACTGGCAAAGCTGCCAAACCATAAGAGTTCCTTAGGTATCTGGCACTAACATGAGACCCAGGAGAGCCCCCGAGTAGCTTCTTGCTCCATAGAACATTTCTGAAAATGGTAGAAGCATATCCTACTGTTCTATTCCTTCCAGCCCAACATCCAGAAAGTCTCACGCTTAGGCAGAGCAGGACAGAGAGCATTCAGCTAGGAGTTAAATAATCATCACATGCCAAATGTAGTCACCAGCATGAAATTAATTTATGTGAAGTGAAAAAGTTTGGTTTTGCTAATTGTACTATTAGCCTATGTAAACTTGGACTGGACTTTACCAATTATTTTGGAAATCTTCAATGTTTAAATTGAAGTGGTTCTCTCAAGAACTTTTAAAAAGTTCAGTACTGATAAAAGAGCCACAGACAAGTTAAATAAAAGTGTTGAGGCTAGAGCCTAGATATCAGTATGTTTCAAAGCTCCACAGTTGACTCCAGAATGCAGTCAAGGTTAAGAACCACTGCTCTAAAGGGCCAGAGATTTAGCTCAGTGGTTCTGCTACCTGCTTCACATAGTGAAAGGTCCCAAGTTCTATCCCCTGTACCAAAAAAAAAAAAAAAAAAAAAAAAAAAAAAAAAAAAAAAAAAAAAAAAGAACCATTGGTCTGATTTATAGCTAAATGGATGCACATTGAGGTGATACTCTTAAGGGACATATGTGTAAATACTGAATAGCTTCTCTGGTGTGAGAAACTGAAAGTGTAAATAAGGATCAAAATATAGAATAGATAATGTGAAATAGGAAGAAAAAGTACTAAGGGGGAGGGGGAGGGGAGGGGGAAGGGAAAGGAAAGGGATAAATACGAGAACAGGAAAAACATGGAAACAAAGTATTTATAAATAGGGAGGGGGTGAGGGGTTGAAGGGAGGGAAGGGAATGGGGAAAAAGTGAGAACCAAGATACATCATGTAAAGGTGCAGATCCCCAATGACGAATGTCATCGCAATGTATTCCTAAAGTGTACCAATAAACTTGATGAATTAAAAAAAGAGCCACTGGTCTAAGAAAAGGAAAATGGAGGGCGAGGGGAGAAAATCAGGAAATTGTTGCTGTGCAATTGAAATTAGCGCTATTTTGATTTGTCAACCTAACATTCTGAGCTCTTTCAACTACCACTAAAGCTGAGTCTAAGGCACCCCCGGACAGTCACCCTGTTTTCAGCATCGTCCTTGGAGACATAACCCCATGAACCAAAGACAAAAGCAAGCTGTGACCTCGCGGCTGCAGGATTCTAACTAAGCTCCCTACAAAAAGCCAAGGCAAACTCTGTTCCATATAGCTTATGGGGAGGCTCATAAATGACTCAGGAAAACAGTTGCTCTGAACAGCTGGGTAAAAATAGAGTCCTAGGCCCCCTACAAACTCCCAAGAATAAATGGATTCTCCCTGATTAAAAAAAAATGTAAGTGTCTGTTGTGAGCAGAGTGCTAACTTGATCCTTACTACAGTCCTGTTGACCAGGTATCAGTGTAGCCCATTTTACAGATGAAGATACTGAAAAACAGTAACATCAGAAAGCTACCCAGGGTCACAGAGCTAAGTCTGGACTTTTTACTGTAAGACAGATGGAAAACTGACCAAGGGTCATCCTAGCTATTCCTGGACAGCTGTCTGTGGCAATAGAATCTTCCATTGTTTAGACAGAGAATCAAATGAGTATGCTAATTGTGTTCTTTGCTAGTATGTGTAAGCAAGCGTTACTCTCAGACACAGAAAAGAACTTTAGTATTCAGACACCGCTGTGGCATTTGTCCCCTAGCTCTCCTGACCAATTGGAGTCTGCTGGAGTTTCTTTGATTTAAAAAGAATTAGAAGGAAAGGGTGAAGTGAGGGCAGGGACAAGGAGAAAGTTGGAATAGCTGAGAGGACCCAGAATATGCATCCAAGTTCGAGCATACATGGACTTTTTTTTTAAATTGAATTTACTGGTACATTCTAGGTAGACAGTACAGCTACATTCATCACTGGGATCTTGTACCTTTACACGCCAGGTCTTGGTTCTCATGTTTTCCCCTTGTCCCCACCCTCCCTTCACCCCCTCTTCCCATACATGGAACTTTTGAAAACAGGATATAACTCCTTCCTTGACATTTCTCAAACCTTTAATCTGCTTGAATTAGTGACTCTAAGAAAAGGAGAAACTTTTTCATATGCCCTCTGTCAAAAGTCCTAATGTGTGATGGTCAGTTAGACTCAGGCGTCTACCCCATGCAGCTGCAGCCATCTGGCTCCTATGTTGTAAACCTTTTC